GTTGGCATCAGAATGGAGCAACTATGTGGTAACTCACTCGCTGTGGATGTAACTGCAAATAACTTATTAATTCTTACTACTGTGAAATGCTGAGAAATCTGTCACACTCTTACCCCTTCACATCTGCTGTTGAATTAAGAATATGTATCACAGCACTCGGGGCACTTTCATAAGTGCTCCGTCCCCATCTTCAGCAGCAAGCAAAGAGTTCCAATTCCGATGGCACCAGTAACCATCTGGTTGTTTATTCGTCTCATCCTTCCCTTGAGTGTTGAGCGTCGGACAGATTCCCTGATAATGATCTATCTGCACCTCACCACTGTTCACTGGTTCCCAAAGTGCTTCACAACTGCTAAAAATTCATGTCACACTACGGAACTTCTGTCACACTCAGACTGCACTAACACACACAAAAAGTATGACATTCTTTTACTCTTCCTACTTTTACAAACTATCCTACCACACAAAGAACTCACCTGGCATTAACAGTATAAAAAAAAAAATCTCTTACTGATCTAATACTTGAAACACTACCACACCTTTTACAGCTATAATATTTCAGAACTACTCTGATATATGCAGCTTTAATCACTTCACAAAATAGTCCAGCAGATGTGAATCTGGTGAACTCTCACATGAAACATTATACTCAACGGTTATTTATTCATTCATTTAGAAAACTCAACCTTATTTGAGTGTTTCACTTTTTTCAAATACTTTCAAATCAGTTTCAGGACACATCTAAGCCATCCTCCCACTTTCTTTCCCCTGGAAGCTGAACCCAGTTTTAGTATCCATCTAGGCCATTCCCCCATACACCCCCCTTTCTTTTTTTTTCTATTGGAAGCTGAATTCAAAGTTTTGGGACCCATCTGGGCCATCAACCCACTCCCATTCTATTGGAAGCTGAATTCAAAGTTTTGGGACCCATCTGGGCCATCAACCCACTCCCATTCTATTGGAAGCTGAATTCAAAGTTTTGGGACCCATCTGGGCCATCAACCCACTCCCATTCTATTGGAAGCTGAATTCAAAGTTTTGGGACCCATCTGGGCCATCAACCCACTCCCATTCTATTGGAAGCTGAATTCAAAGTTTTGGGACCCATCTGGGCCATCAACCCACTCCCATTCTATTGGAAGCTGAATTCAAAGTTTTGGGACCCATCTGGGCCATCAACCCACTCCCATTCTATTGGAAGCTGAATTCAAAGTTTTGGGACCCATCTGGGCCATCAAACCCACTCCCATTCTATTGGAAGCTGAATTCAAAGTTTTGGGACCCATCTGGGCCATCAACCCACTCCCATTCTATTGGAAGCTGAATTCAAAGTTTTGGGACCCATCTGGGCCATCAACCCACTCCCATTCTATTGGAAGCTGAATTCAAAGTTTTGGGACCCATCTGGGCCATCAACCCACTCCCATTCTATTGGAAGCTGAATTCAAAGTTTTGGGACCCATCTGGGCCATCAACCCACTCCCATTCTATTGGAAGCTAAACCCAGTCTCAGTTTTTAGGATCTGACTAGGCTATTATCCCACTCATTCTCTTTAGGAAGCTAAAGCCAGTTTTGGTACCCGTCTAGGCCATCCTCCACTCCCATTCTGTTGGAAGGTAAACCCAGTCTCAGTTTTAAAACCCGTCTTGGCCATCCTCCCACTCCATTTCCATTGGAAGCAGAACCCACCTTTGAGACCCATCTAGGCCACCCTCCCACTCCATTTCCACTGGAAGCAGAACCCACCTTTGAGACCCATCTAGGCCACCCTCTCACTTCCTTTCCACTGGAAGCTGAATCCACCTTTGAGACCCATCTAGGCCACCCTCTCACTTCCTTTCCACTGGAAGCTGAATCCACCTTTGAGACCCATCTAGGCCACCCTCTCACTTCCTTTCCACTGGAAGCTGAACCCACCTTTGAGACCCATCTAGGCCACCCTCTCACTTCCTTTCCACTGGAAGCTGAACCCACCTTTGAGACCCATCAAGGCCACCCTCTCACTTCCTTTCCACTGGAAGCTGAACCCACCTTTGAGACCCATCAAGGCCACCCTCTCACTTCCTTTCCACTGGAAGCTGAACCCACCTTTGAGACCCATCTAGGCCACCCTCTCACTTCCTTTCCACTGGAAGCTGAATCCACCTTTGAGACCCATCTAGGCCACCCTCTCACTTCCTTTCCACTAGAAGCTGAACCCACCTTTGAGACCCATCTAGGCCACCCTCTCACTTCCTTTCCACTGGATGCTGAACCCACCTTTGAGACCCATCTAGGCCACCCTCTCACTTCCTTTCCACTGGAAGCTGAACCCACCTTTGAGACCCATCTAGGCCACCCTCTTACTTTCTTTCCACTGGAAGCTGAATCCAGATCAATGTCAGTGAACTAACTATTGTGGCATCATGGCTCAAACAACACACAATTCACTGAAATACAATATTTCATGAGTAGATATTCATACAGATCATAATTATCATACAATACAGACATGTCAACCATACATTTCAAAAGCATTTTATCCACTTAACACACACATTTTGCTACAGGTATACAAATAGAACTGAATGAGACAAATATGTAACAAGTCAGTTTCAGTGAGTCAGTCAGTGCCAGCTAGTCTTAGTCAGTCAGTGGGTCAGTGGCAGCTAGCCTTAGTTAATCTTAGTCAGTGGCAGCTAGTCTTAGGTCAGTCAGTGGCAGCTAGTCTTAGGTCAGTCAGTGGCAGCTAGTCTTAGGTCAGTCAGTGGCAGCTAGTCTTAGACTTGGTCAGTGGCAGCCAGTCTTAGTTAGTGGCAGCTAGATTTAGTCAGTCAGTGGCAGCTAGATTTAGTCAGTCAGTGGCAGCTAGTCCTAGACTTAGTCAGTGGCAGCTAGATTTAGAAAGTCAGTGGCAGCCAGTCCTAGACTTAGTCAGTGGTAGCTAGTCCTAGATTTAGTTAGTCAGTGGCAGCCAGTCTTAGTCAGTGGCAGCCAGTCTTAATCAGTGGCAGCCAGTCTTAGTTAGTCAAAGGCAGCTAGTTCTAGACAGTTAGCAGCCAGTCTGAGTCAGTGGTAGCTAGTCTTAGACTTAGTCAGTGGCCCCCAGTCTTAGTTAGTCAGTGGTAGCCAGTCTTAGTTAGTCAGTGGCAGCTAGATTTAGTTAGTCAGTGGCAGCCAGTCTTAGTTAGTCAGTGGCAGCTAGTCTTAGTTAGTCAGTGGCAGCCAGTCTTAGTCAGTGGCAGCTAGTCCTAGACTTAGTCAGTGGCAGCTAGTCTAGTCAGTGGCAGCCAGTCCTAGACTTAGTCAGTGGCAGCTAGTCTTAGTTAGTCAGTGGCAGCTAGTCCTAGACTTAGTCAGTGGTAGCCAGTCTTAGTTAGTCAGTGGCAGCTAGATTTAGTTAGTCAGTGGCAGCTAGTCTTAGTTAGTCAGTGGCAGCCAGTCTTAGTCAGTGGCAGCTAGTCCTAGACTTAGTCAGTGGCAGCTAGTCTTAGTTAGTCAGTGGCAGCCAGTCTTAGTCAGTGGCAGCTAGTCCTAGACTTAGTCAGTGGTAGCTAGTCCTAGACTTAGTCAGTGGCAGCCAGTCTTAGTCAGTGGCAGCCAGTCTTAGTCAGTGGCAGCCAGTCTTAGTTAGTCAGTGGCAGCTAGTCCTAGACTTAGTTAGCGGCAGCCAGTCTTAGTCAGTGGCAGCTAGTCTTAGACTTAGTCAGTGGCAGCTAGTCTTAGACTTAGTGGCCCCCAGTCTTAGTTAGTCAGTGGTAGCCAGTCTTAGTTAGTCAGTGGCAGCTAGATTTAGTTAGTCAGTGGCAGCCATTCTTAGTTAGTCAGTGGCAGCTAGTCCTAGACTTAGTTAGCGGCAGCCAGTCTTAGTCAGTGGCAGCTAGTCTTAGACTTAGTCAGTGGCAGCTAGTCTTAGGCTTAGTTAGTAGTAGCCAGTCTTAGTCAGTGGCAGTTAGTCTTAGACTTAGTCAGTGGCCCCCAGTCTTAGTCAGTCCCAGCTAGTCTTAGTTAGTCAGCCCTAGCTAGTCTTAGTTAATCAGTCCCAACTAGTCCTAGTCAGTCACTCCTAGCTGGTCTTAGTTAGTCAATCCCAGCTAGTTAGTCAGTCCCAGTTTGTCAGTCATCTGTAAATCCTTTCAAAGTTCTCATTTTCAATCAAGGCACCAATTTCCATTAATAAACAGTAACTTATGCCACCACACAAAAACTCATGAAACTACTGATTGCCTGTTGACTTCTAGTGGGTCATATAAGGCCTGCAAAATCTTCTGGTCTGGTCTACAAAGGCAACCTCAATTAAATGTTTTACCAATTGTAACAGGCTAATTTTTCAGGTAATTGTGCACAGTCTGTGAATGGTGTAAATATCCAAACATCATCTGCCCCTTAAGACATTTGCTGCAGGAGATGAAGCATCTATGGGTATGACTGTGTACTGTGATGCTAATTCTTAAATCAGTAAACCACACGGTAGGATGACCTCCAAATTTCTCGCAGCCCTTCCCATCCTGAACATTCAAAACCAGTCTCTGGTGTATTTTTTCTAAGCTGGGCCCACACTAGTCCTGTCACTACAGGGAAATAAACTCCCAGATTATTGCATGGTAAGTGAGTATACAAGGCATTGAAGTACTGATTAAACAATAAATTTTCCACATGATCCAAGTATAAATAAAAGCACTGCATATACACAAAAAATAACATGGTTAAGGTCAAAACAAAAAGAGAAATAATAGTATATGTCACCCACAGCAGCTTCTTCAGTAATTAAACAGAAATGTTTATACCTATTCATGACACAGACAAGCTCTTTCAGTGCATAAATAAAGAGTCTGTATATCAAACTGCACCCAATCCAGATTTATTAGTGCATGAACAGAGACTTGCAGGTCAACCTGGCACTCAATTCAGATCCATCAGTGCATGAATAGAGAGTAGTACATCAACCTGGCACCCAGTCCAGATCCACCAGTGCATGAACAGAGAGTTGCACATCAACCTGGCACCCAATCCAGATCCATCAGTGCATAAAGAGAGAGGTGTTGGCCCGTAAGTCTACCCTGTCCAGGTCCAGAGCCCAGTCATGGCCGCCAAAGTAGATCTGGTAGAGGGTGTCTGGAATGTGTCTCTTTGTGGTGATCTGATGCAGCATCTGTCAATGAAACCCAGAGGATATCAATAAAACTCATGCAGGATGTCAATGATAAATGTCAAAACCAGCAAAGATGTCAAGTAACCCATGGAGGATGTCTAAGTAGCCTATGGAGGATTTAAATGTAACCCATAGAGGATGTCAAGTAACGCATGGAGGATGTCTACGTAACCCATAGAAGATGTCAAGTAACCCTCAGAGAATATCAATGTAATCCATGGAGGATGTCTATGTAACCCATACAGGATGTCAAGTAACCCACAGAATGTCAATGTAATCCATGGAGGATTTCAATGTAACCCATAGAGGATGTCAAGTAACCCACAGAGAATGTCAATGTAATCCTTGGAGGATGTCTATGTAACCTATAGAGGATGTCAAGTAACCCACAGAATGTCAATGTAATCCATGGAGGATTTCAATGTAACCCAAAGAGGATGTCAAGTAACCCACAGAGAATGTCAGTGTAACCCATGGAGAATATCAATGTAACTCATGGAGGATGTTACTGAAACCCATGGAGGATGGCAATGTAACCCATGGAGGATGGCAATGTAACCCATGGAGGATGTCAATTAAACCTATGGAGGATGTCAATGTAACCTATGGAGGATGTCAGTGTAACCCATGGAGAATGTCAATGACATGGAGGATGTCAACGTAACCTATGGAGGATGGCAATGTAACTCATGGAGGATGGCAATGTAACATGACCAAACTTAATTCAAATGTTGACTGTAATAGGTGAACATTATCTGACATAAGATATAATGCTGACTGTGTGAAGTGAATATGATATAAAATAAGATCAGTACATAAACTGAACATGATCTAGAGCCAGATATAATGTTCATTACAGAAAGTGAACATGATTTAAATGAATGCTGACTATCAAATACACATGATCTAAAGCCAGACATCTCCTTCTTCATTCGCCCCTTAAAAAGGTTGTTGGCACATTGTGTTTGTGGTTTTCAGCTAGGCTGTGACATCTGTGCCTTTTCCCAATACATCTGATTTCAGTAAACTCCTAATTATTCACTTTTTACAACATGCGTTGTAAGGAGCAGTACCTGTTCTCTTCTCCCTACAATGGGGTCCTCGAACCTACGCTGGGATAAAGTCAGTTTCTTTAAGTTAGTTGCGTATCCTTTACAGAACATTGCGGAACCAACCACAGCATTTGTTTTTTACCACTGTGGTTTTTCTAGGCACACTTTACATTCAGTAGTTTGCCACTGCTTGCTAAATGGTCAGCTCTCGCTACCGTTGCCGAAACGAATGCAAGACAAAACGTCCACAGCTATGATTGAACCCGGCACCCCTGCATTTTGAAGTTCATTCGCAACACCTAAGCCACAGGCGCCAACCTAGATATAATGCTAAATGAATATTGTGAACAAGATCTATAACTAGATCAAATATTGAATTTACCTGATAAGACCTAAATGCCATGAAAGCTTGTAGAGTGAACAAAACAGCACACATCAGCAGACAGAACACTCCCAGGAAATAGAACCCTCTCTCCTTTCCCCAGGCCACTCTGAAATACAATCACAAGCAGCAAATGAGATTCATCTAGGTGGTCGTCTATTTGTGTTAAGTAGAGTGAGACAGCTTTAATGTTTCTTCTTCTTCTTCTTCGTGTTCACTGGCTGTAAACTCCAGGGTAAAGTTCTAGCTGTTTATCCACTTCAGGAATTCAGTATTGTTCCAGAACCTGAGCTTTGCATGCACATCCGTTTTACAGATCTAGCTTACATGTATGCAAACTGCTGGTTCCTTATCTCTCAGGCAGATGCACTCTGACTGCTTATTGGGGGCGGTGGGTCTATTCTTTTCTCCCCACAATGGGGCCCTGGAACAGACACAGAGACTTAAATTGTTTGAAACAAGCTCATGAGCCAGCCAACACAGACAAGACCAACTTTTCCTTTGAAGTTGTGGTGAATCTGCCAAAAAGGCAGAGAATCCCAAAATAAGTCAGATCTGTCAAACAGATGTGCAGATAACACTCAAGTGCCAGAAAAACACCACAGTCCAGAAGTGGAAAAACAGCCAGAACTTTTCCCTGGAATTTAGAGCTGGTCAATGTGAGGTACAAAACAAGATGGTTTTAATTTTGTTAGTTGCGCATCCTTTACGGGACATTGCAGAACCCGCCCAGCATTATCGAGATATGAGACTCTTGTAATTATGTGCACAGCAAATCAGGACCAGCATACCACAAGATAATAATGTCCCTGTAGTCATTTATTACGCATCACTGTCTACTGTGTCTCGTTCACACAGGTAAACAAAGCTTATGGCATATGATATCACAACGTCTAGTTTGAAAATTGAGGTGGAGGCAGTCACTGATGCCTTCCGCTGGCTTGAGAATCAGCTGTACACACACGGCATGATTGTAACTGACTCACAGAGCATGTTGAGAAAGGTGGAGACAGGCATGCTCAGTACAGACTGGCAAGCATCACTTCGAAGTTCCCGGGTAGTTAGCATCCTTTGGATATTTTCTCCAGGTCATGCTGGTGTGTTGTGAAATGAGCAGACAGACTGGCCAGTTCTGCGCCACTTGGTGTTGAACTGATGTATGTCAAGCTGGATGTTGTGAGGGCCGTTTGGGAGCAAGTGATATATCATTATGGTCTGAGGAGACTAGCACTGAGAAGAGTTACAAGGGGATCTGGCCGACACTCGACACTTAGGGGAAAGGCGACACGGATATACAATTAGACTAGTACCATAGGAATTTTAACTCTTCGCTTGCTGCTGAAGATGGGGATGGAGCGCTAATGGGGGGTCTAGAGTGCTGTGAGGTCAATTCTTAATTCATCATTCACACAGGGAGAATATGAAGCAAGAATCTAGACAGAATTTAAAAGCCTGTGTACCAGAATCACACATGATATAACTTATTTTTGATAGGATATTTCTCTAATTTTGAAATCTAGCTTGCGCAGTGGCCTATTCACCTTTCAAATTCCCATCTCCTAGCTAATTTATATCTGGGATCCTTGTCAAAGATGGCAGATGTCAAATTCTCTATTTCTATATGCGTGAGTTGGAAGGGGGGGGGGGGTGTCTGCTTCATCTTATTTAATTGAAAGCAAAAATTTACAGATTGAGAAAGGAACCAGATTTGAACGTTTTTACACTATTTAATTTTTTTAAACTAATATCACTAATATTAGTGAATGACCTTGACTCCTAGGTGGACCCAGTCTAAAAAGGACAAGTATAGGTAGCTGTTGTGATGTTGACAACATCAACCATCTTTGGTCTCTAAAAATGTGTGTTTGGCACCATATGCCAGACCTAAAAATGATGTCAGAAGAATAATTTATTCTTTATTCTAAAATAATAATAATAATATTTAACGTGATAAACTACTAATTATTTCAAAGACTTACAAAATTGACATAAAACTTTCCTCTCTTAAGATCTGCCATGATTCCAAGAACTCCCATTTCTTGGATGGTATAACTTTATCCTCTACGGATTTCTGCCTCAAGTTCTTCCTGAACTTGCTCAATTTCCTCGACTGTTGTCTGTGTTCATTTTTCTGGCTCTCCTCCACCGAACTTTCACCCATGATGTTATTGTTAGTAGTATCTGCATCGTTTTGATATTTGCTGCCCTTCATTTTTTTAGATAATGAATAGCTTAAACCACAATCTACTCACTACACATTGCTCAAATGTATTGCTATTATAAAATATGGTTAAATCTATTATCGCCTAACTGTTTGACTAACACCTCCTTTGTACATTGGAATCGGACATTGCTGTTCCTTCTAAAATACGAACTCTTCAAGTTGTAAAGTAAAATTGTTTTTATCTCCGGTTCGTCTGACAGCGTTTTCCCCTAAAGCAGAGTTGCCATATTGGCATTAATGATGCCAGATTAAATAAATTTGGCATATTTGAAATTAAACCGGTAATATAATAAACTGGCATATTTGGGTTTATCCTGGCTTTTCTTATCAAGGTGTGCTTACATTTTCTTTATGGTTCCTCTGTTAGAAAAACGCAGATTTACTAAAAGCAGTGTAGACCTACAGTTGACATCTTTATTTCAGTTTAATTTTTTTGTGATGTCCTGGTACTGACTAACGGAGTTTCGCGCCATCTATTATTGTATGTTGTCTTCCTAAGAAATAGAAGCTGCACAGATGCAATCTTCACACTTAAACAGTTAATAGAAAAGAACATTTAATACAAGAAGAACTTATTTGTGGCATTCGTAGACCCGGAGAAGGCATTTGACAGAGTCGACAGACAATTATTATGGAAAGTAATGGCAAGATATGGAGTAAGCGAACACCTCATCGAAGCGTGCAAAAGTTTATACAGGGATTGTAGAAGTGTAGTTAGAATAAATCAGGGAACATCTCATCCTTTCACGGGGACATCTGGAGTAAGACAGGGGTGTGTCTTATCACTACTGCTGTTTATCACCTACATCGACAGTATATGCAAGAATGCCAAGCCCATGAATGAAGATCTTAGTAAGATCAACAAATTACTCTTTGCAGATGACCAGGCCTTGATAGCAGATACAGCCATGAAATTGCAACAACATCTAACATCCATGAATGAAGAATGTAAAACAAATAATATGAGAATCAACACTGAAAAGACAGGAAAAAAGAAGACAGATCTAAACATAGCAATAGAATACAAAGGCATTAAACAGGCATCTGAGTTTAAATATCTGGGAACTACATTTACCGAAGATGGAAAATTGGATACAGAAATTAACATTAGATGCAGTAAAGCAAACCAAGTATTGGGACAGCTAGCCCCCCTTTTACAGCATAAGACAATACCAATCAGCACAAAGAGACATCTTATTCAAAGCATATTTATTCCAACTCTGTGCTACCAGTGCCAGACATGGTCACTCACAACCAACCATAAAAGAAAATTAGTAACCACGGAAATGAGATGTCTGAGAAGGGCTGTAGGAGTGACCATAAGAGATAAGATCAGGAATGAGATCATAAGAGAACAAGTCGGCACAGAACCAATTCTGGATTAAATACCAAGACAGCAAGTGAAATGGTTTGCCCACTTAGAGAGAATGCCTTGTGACACCATACCATACAAATCATACATGGAAAGAAAAGAAGGACGTAGAGCACGGGGTAGACCAAGAACAATTTGGAAGGATAACATCAGAGAAACTCTACAACAGCACGATGTGCCTATGGTCGAGGCAGCCAGAAGAGCTAGAAATAGAACCTTATATATCCCTCGTCACCCACAGCGGTAAAAGAGGAAGTGAAGAAGCGAAGAAGAAGTCTTTATAAACGGATAGTGACTTCGATAAACCAAAGCCCTCTGTAAGTTATGTTAATCTACTAGAATAAATGCGGAATATAAAAAAAAAACACCACTGATACCAAGTGATTCAGACTGTTTAGAAACTACTTGAGGACAGAAAATAGAGAGGATATAGACCTAGTTCTATCTGTGATATATTTTACTTTTACAAATGGCCACGTCATCCCTCCTCCACCCCCCCCCCCCCCCCAATGGAAAGCATCTTGTGACATTGAAGAAAACATACCCACGGCTAAAAAGATCTTGAGACGGATCAGAGGCAGCATATTGTAAACTGCGTCAATGCACTGTTGCAGCAAGAATTAGTATCACATCACATCATGAAAAATCCGAAAAACACAGGATGAAAACTCCGTCAAAAAGCCAGTCACAGCTTATTACAACAATCACTGCTTAGCAAAGTAATGATAAAGTTAAGGCAACAGAGTTGCAACTTGCTATAAGCATGACCTACCATTGTGCAATACGCATCTATCTAAGTAAAATTATGACAGCGCTTGGTCAGGGGAGAACATTGAAGCACATACGGTTGCATAGAACTAAATATGTATACCTAATAAAAAATTTTATATCGTCTGCATTTAAGGATGACCTTGATGATTTTCGAAACAAGAAATATGCCATCATTATAGATGAGTTGCAAAGACTTCATCCGATCTGATAAAATGCTTACAGATTTTACATCCGAAAAGTTATCTTCCAGTGGTTCCAGTGAGGATGACAGTGAAGAATTCAATCTGGAGCTTTATTACTAGCATTATTAGGCATTTTCTGGCATATTTTGGGTCTGGGTGTGGCATAAAATGAAGGTTTTTTGGCAACTCTTCCCCAAGGTGGGCGCTACCGCCCCCGAAGAAGGCGTGGAAACAGTTCGGGCGTCGGTTGCCGCCACAGTCAAATTATGGGGTGGGGGCGCTAGGACGGTCCAAAGGAAATGATAGCTGAATGTCATTGAATTAAAAAAAAATAAGGCTACGGAAGATGGAGAGAGTGTGTGAGAGAGAACATTTTGATCAAAAGTTCATACCTGTTAATGTCGTCGTCATTATCATCATCAATTTCCATTTCTGCCGTTAAGCGACGTGGGGAGAAACCGTTTGCGATCTATTGCTTGATGAACAGCAATGACTATTTTCATTCCAAGCCGATGTAGAGTTCTTTAATGTCATCAGTCCATTTTCTCCTGGGGCGACCTCTTGCTTTGACATAGATCAGTTCGTGTGTAGCGCCTGAGTTGGTAGTTGTTCTGGTTACATTTGAAAGGGGGAGGGGTTATAAAGAACCCAACTCGGTGTTGTGTGCAATATATGGGTATATGAAAGGGAAGTTCATTATTAAACGTAAACACTTGGTGCGGTGCAGGACACATTGAACGCAATGTGAAGAGAGCGAAAAACGGTTGGCTCAAAGTCCCCGGAGAGGAAGGATGCGGTGATGTATGTTCTAGTCTAGGTGTTGCCAGACTAGTCCTGCACACCCGCATGTTACGCTGGCGTTAGGCATACAGGCTATCGGCGAGAGATGCCGCAGAGGCCGGGCCAGCGTGACAGAAGCTCGTGTGGTGAGATGGGAGATCTCAAGTACGTGTCAGGCCGCAGACGGAAGGTCTGGATAATCTTCACAAGGTATTGTGCATCGGCCTGTATGATATTTCTAGTGACAGTGTACCCAAGGGATGGGTGTCATAGAGACAGACACGTACTCACGAGCAGTGGGTTTGCACGAGCAGGTAATGTTTGCTCGTTGTTGACCACGGAACAGGGTGGCAGTAGAAGTAGCCCGGAGTGTGTGTTGCCTTGCCAGTAGGAATGACTGTGGCAGTATAGAAATTCATTGTCTTGGTTTTGAAATACATTAATTATATTTTGACGTTCAACGTGTATCCAGCGTCCTTTATTGCTGTTGGGCGGGAGTGGTGACTTTGATCTGTAACACTATTAAGCATACCTGGATACTTGGCAAGTGTGCGGTGCATCAAGCGAGCATTTCGCACGCGTCACTCGGCTGATACTAACGGTGACATTAATGCCTGTCCCCGGATTGTGATTGCTGCCCAACGACAGGGCTAGACATGCACATGTGGGAAAAGCTTCACAAGGTTGCATGGTCTGAGAACGCAAGCCAGTCGAATGAAATGCGAGGGTGCATCATGCAGTAAGCGTCGGCGCATAGCTACTCCTGTAGTTAATGAGTCGTCAGGGAACGACGGGCAGGGTGCCCCCCCCCCCCCCCACTCGCCTGGAATCTAAATCTGATTGCGGAAAACAAAAATTACTAGTCCTCTTTAAGCCGCCCGAGGACTAGTTCTTGGCAATCTTAACTTGAATTCGTTTTTTTTTAATTTTTTTTTTTAAATTTCACCTTAGTTTGGTTTCTCTGCTTCAGCCGTGTCAGCGTGGTCTGGCTTAGCGGTTTTTCTACGTTTGATTGGCTGTTTCCAGTTTTTGGGAGTGGATCAGGCAGCCCTGAAAAGGACTGCCATTTTTGCCTGGGGTGGCCTGGAACGGGAATGAGGGATCTCCTGTGTGTCCGATACTCGCGTTTATTGCATAGGGCGTCTTTTGCTGGTACCTCTGGTCGGTGAGCTGGCTTCTAGGCTGTCTGTCTTTTCGGTTGGCAACCTTCGGTGGGTTGTTTCCTGCGTTCTGGAAATGGAGTCTCCCCGACTCTCACTCAATCACTGAAAGAAAAAGTTGAAGTTTTTGAATAAAATGTTACAGAAAGGTTCTCAAAATACCATGGATCAAGAAGAGGAAAAAACATCAACATTCTACACAAGTCAAATATCAAGAAGAACTGGCTCGTAAACAGCATCCTGTCTCGAAAGTTTAAGCATTTTGGCCACATCTAAACGTCACGGTGGTTTGGAAAGACGGTGATGACGGGTGCCGTTTGTGGAAGGCAAGGCAGTGGTTAACCTCCGCGAATATGGATACAGGACATTAAAGATGCTTTGGCGCTGGAAGGGCATGGGGCTGGGGAACTGGCTAGGGAAAGAGATATTTTCAGGTGTGCCGTGAAGAGAGCGACGTTCTATAAAGGACTTGCTGACTGATGATGATGATGAGCTAATTCTGCAACCCCGTGTGCCTTCATGGTCAATGCATCTGTAATGTCGGCCTTGACCTCGTTTTCCAGAAATGCACCATCACCGTTCTGACCAGACCAACATGGCGCTTGACAAGTCCAAAATACCCCAAATTTCAGGAGAGGATGCTGTTTACAAGCCAGTTTTCCTTGATGTTCAGATCGTGCAGGATGTCAAGTTTTTTCATGGCATTCTAACAATCTTTCTGTA